GACTTTATTTTTGGATAAACTTATTTTTCCAAAAGGTCTGAAAGTGCTCTGTTGCAAAATGACCCTATCAGGTGAAAAATGGACTTTCTTGTAACATCTTAGAAATTAGAAAGAATTCCTAGTTAAGGCAATGTTATAATATCTTTCAATGTTTTACATAACACTTTCAAGAATTTTAAATTGACTGTTAAATTTTTTAGAATATCTGAACCCAACCCCTTACTTGTGGTTGATTTTTAAATACTTTAGTAGTGCTACATGTTTTGTTATTATACTATATCTTACTGGAGGCCCAGTGCACGAAACTCATACACGAGTAGTGTCCCTAGGCCTGGCCAGAAATCAGGGCTGATCAGGACCTTCCTTCCGGCTGCTGGCTGGGGCCTTCCTTCATTCCAGGCCACCCTCTGGTGGTCAGCAGATGTCATAGCGACAATCGAAATTCCAGTCTCCCAGTCAAACTCCCAAGGGGACAATTTGCATATTGGGCTTTTATATATATAGGTAGTTCTGTTCCCTTTAGTTTGGTTAAGGACACAACTGAGGGCCAGGTAGGATATACAAAGGAAATCAAACTGACTTGGAGTCACTCACCAGCTGAGTGAGCTCAGGCAGCCGATTAACCTCATATCTTCTATCTGCCCATGAAAGACTGATGCTGAACTTCCATTGACTGAGTGCCTGTTCTTTGCCAAGTAGCATCATTTCCACTCTTTACAGTGGTGCTGCAAGGTGGGCATGGTTACACCCATTTTATAAATGAAGACTGAAGCTCAGAAGGTTAAACAGCCTGCTCAAGGTCACACAGGTAATAAGCAACCGATGCTGATATTTTGAACCACCTGGATATAAAGCCCCTGTGTTTTATTCCATGAATTTATAATTCTCTGAATTATTTATGCTTAACTTAGGGGATCTCTCTCCTGATCACATTCCTCTGATTTTTGGACCTTTTCATTCTTCTGAAAAATGATATTGGGTTTAACTAACCATATTTTGGGAAATTGTTCCTTGACAATTTTTTCTGAATTCAATTGGATTGTCTATATTTCATCACAGATCTTCTTCAGACAAACTAATTGCATGCAGTCTGTCAAACTATAGATGTAGTCTATACTTACTCATCTATTTATATAATTATAAATAAAATTCTTGAAAAATAATATTCTCCTATCTCTCAATGTTAGGATTCTCTTCAGGACCATCTTTTACATCCTGCTTCCAATTTGTTTATGTGTAATTATTTAACCAGGTGTTTTTCAGGTTTTATCTGTAATTTTTCAGTCCATGGATTTCTCTATAGAAACAGGAGGGTTAAAAGAAAAAGCATAGCTCATGAGTCTGTTCTCCCCTAGTGTGGCTAAATCTTTTTGTAAATGATAAAGATTTATAGTCTTGGTTAATCATCCAAACCTTTGTTAGTCCATTTCTTTCAGAGTCTTACTCTGTTCCTTTCTTATATTCTCATCAGACATTCTGAGGTTTAGCTATTTAAAAATATCTTCATATTGTTCTTTTTGTAATAGAAAGACATTTTAACTGTTACAAGGTTGAAGAAATTGACTATGATCCAAAATAGCTGCACTGTTTTAGCAAGATATACATTAATTTCCCCAGTGGTTAAAAACATTAAAAAATAAATGAAGAAGTTAGTGAATACAGAATCCAGGAAGTAACAACAAACCATTTTAATTATTTTTAAAAATTCATACTTCAGCATTTTTATTATTTATTACTTCTGGTGACTTTGCTTCCTCTGGGTGCTTAAGTCCCACGTAAATCTTCTTGTGACAATTGTGCTTCATCTTATGCCTCTATACTTTGCATCTAAAGATTATAGAATTTAGAAATTGGCTTTGACATAATTTGGTAAAATTGGTGTAATAAGATTAACCCTTTTCTTTGGTCCATAGGTTTGCTCTCTGACTATCATAAACCTTCATAAGTCAGTTCTGTAAGTTTAAGAAATGAGGAAAATGGAATGGAGGTGTCATTTATTCACCTCTATTGTAAATTCTGGAATTATATTTATTAGGCTGTATGGAGTCTAAACTAGCGAGTTAGGCTGAAAGATAACTCCCTCAGTTTTCTATTCATCTCTAAGTATTATAAATATGCTGTTTGATAATTTGATACATGTAGTTGACACTGAGTACAAACTTATTAAATAGGAATTAGCTAGAAAGGGCTTTTCTTAGACTTCTTTGCATGTTATGATACCTAATGTAGAATTTTCTAGTTCAGTTGACATATTTTAGATAATTTTTATTTAATTTTATTTATTTAATTACTAAAATGTATATTGCACAGCAGTGTATGATAACATCTAAAAAGAAATTAAAATATGTGCACAATATTTCCAAAGCTATTCACTTCTCTAGAAAAAAAGACATGGTTATCAGCTTGATTTATATCCTCCAGACCCATATCTGATATATTTATATATAGAGAGAGAGAGAAAATTTACGGTGTTGATTTGTGTGTATGTATTTTACATAAGTAGTACAATACTGTACATTGTTGATTATCTTCAAGATAGTTTTTCAAGAGTTTCCCAGTTAGCAACTCTGGTTAAAAAGAGTTATATGCTACCATTTCTATCTCAGACAAAACTATGAAAGAGATGCCTCTATTATTTTGCTCATTATCTCTCTCATCCATCTTCATTTTTCTCTCCTTCCTCTCTCCCGTACATATTTAGTGCCTCCCCTCTCCTTCCTATCCTATCACTTTAATTGCATGGAAATTATTCCTGTTCTTCACTTTGAACTGATGTCAGTATATTACTTACATATTTATTGTTTGGCAACAAGTAACCAATAAAAGGCTTTGTTCTATTTAAAAGAACTTCCAGTACCAATAAGAAAATGGGAAACTGTTTCAGGAAGCATGAGGTGTTTTTTTCTTTATCCCTAAAATCTCACCTATTAGGTACCTACTCATTCTGTGAGGCCATGAAGCCAGCTCTGCCCAAGAATATTTTGAAAGGAAAAGTCCACGTTTTTAATAGGCCTTACTTACGTTTGATTATGGAACCACTTAGTGGAGTTCGGTCTATAATTTGCAGTTTTGAGCTCTTCTGCCCAGCCAGGAATGAGGCAATGAAAGTGTTAGGTAGATAACTCAGCATTTCCACATGAAAAAGAGATTGGTTACTGTATTTGCTCTGAGAATACGTAAAAGCAGGCACCAGTTGTCATGTGGTTTTGATGGTTGTAGCAAGCTAAGAACCAACTGGCGCTGAACAAAGAATGACTGAGTTCCCTCCCCCCAAGGCTTTGACACTTTTAGGGCCATTTTGGATCCCAGCATTAAAATTTTTTGACAAATACTAATATATACCTGTGGTTTTTAAATTTATCATCCTGGTGCTGCTTTCTACCGTTGAATAATACATACCTACTTATTAAGTATCTGGCATGATGCTACTACCTATTTTGCATACTTCATATTTTATTAAACCTGTGAGAATTAATAAGGTAAGGATTAGGAAACCCATTTTATGGGTCAGGCCATTGAAGTTCAAGTGGTTGTTTTATAATTCAAGCTGAGATGAAGTGAACGCTAAAGTCTGTTATTTCCATTAAGCTTGCAGTTACTTTTCATATCCCTTTTTTCCAAATAATATAGATTGTTTCACAAGCAATCTTGTATAACATTTTAGACTCTCACTCGCAGTGTCATTTTCTTGGAAAGTTTAAAAAATAAACCACAGATTATTCATAATTAGGTATGAATATATTTTGCCACCTTGGAAGTTCTGCCAGCACAAAACCCATTTTAAAGTTTGCTGATAGAAATTGCATTTTCAGTAAAAAGCACCTGCTAGCAAAAATAGGAACCGATAGTGAGAAGCCACTTGAATAATCAAGTCTGTTCACGGACTAAACTTGTTTCTTTATTCCCAAATTCTTAAATTAATGGAAGTCCTAAGTTCTTTTGAGGGATTACATAAAGTCTTTCCTATTTGTCTAACAATGTCCTACCAGGGTTTTGGAAGAGGAATTAAATTTTCTTTCTCTGACTATCCGGTTAGCTGATATTTCTTCTTAAGTAATGAGCTGTTGTGGTTTGGTTTTTCAGCTTTTTGTTGTTGAAAAACTAATTGCTACTACCTCAAATTATTTTCAGTTAAGATATCATATTTGCACCAGGTGTATACATTTTATGTGGCATTTAGTGAAAACACAGGGACCCTCAAATGACCTGTTTTTATCTTTGTATTCTTAATCGATATATTTACCCTATATTAATATTTAAACTCACCGAAGCAAAATTTATTATTACAAGATAAGATTGACTTTTTTGTCATTTTTTCATTTCATCTCACAGCTCAAAGCATTTTGCTTTGGGAAAATAATGCTATTTTGAGTCTAATAAAATATTTTATAAACTTTAAATATTCAGAACATTTATTTGAAAAGCAACTTATTCTTTTGAGTTGAGAATAATTTAAGCATGTTTACAAGGTGAAATTCCTCTGTTATTTAGGGTGATTTCTATTATTCACATAGTGGAGCTCTGTTAGTGAGTCTGGGGACTATATTTTATCACTGAGGTGCCAAGACCTTGTGCATATGTTTGTTTTACGCACTGAAATCATCATGTGGGTATTTGTGAAGAGGCTTAGGGATAGAGTTCAATATGCACTTGTAGCTGATGTTTCAGAAATACTGGCAAGATCTAATGAGTCAGTGAATCAGTTAGTTTGAAAGGATTTTCTAGATAGTGTTTCTAGCTGCTTAGACTGCTCAATAATTCAAATTTTAGAGAATAAAATTCCATGAAGGCATGAGAAAAGTTATTAAGTCTACCATCACCTTTGTAGTCCGTCTTTGCTTGTTTCAGTTATGTTCCCCTGTCTGAAATATTAGCCAGTTTTTATTTACTTTCCCTCAAAGAATGCTGTTCTACTGGTTGAGGAATTGTCCCAATAGCATAAATTCTTCCATGCCTAGAAATGTAAGTCTAACAATGACACTTTTATTTTATTTTTTTAGAGCATCAGAGCATCGGGCCTTATCCTGTTGGAAACTATCCTTTTTGGGTCTTTGCTTCTATACTTTCCGGTAAGTAACATATTTGTATTTTAAAAGTATCCATTTATTTTATTTTGCTTATATACCTATATCAAGCTATATAATATAGATAGATAAACAAGGGTTTTATATATATTTAAACCCTGTCTTTTACATATTGGGTCCCCTTATATAAGTTACTTAGCATTTCTAAACTTTGGTTTCTTCTTATAAAATGGAGCTAATTATACATTTCTTCCCAAGTTTGTGAGGAGGGTTAAATGCTTAAATTAATTACCATATGAATGTCATGTTTGGTATATACACTTGGTTATATACATATAAATATTCATTTCTTTCTCCTTTGCTTGAATTAGAACCATGAGACACACCAGCCAGTTCATGCTGGAAAATAACAAATGGTTACACAGAAAAAGAAACCTAATAAGATAAATGTATGTGTGGTACTCATGGTACAGAGAATCACCACTCGTTCTCTCTATCACCCTAGTAACATGTCTGTAAACAGAAGATAAGTATTGGTTTTACTAATTTAATTCAGTCAGTTTGTATTCAGCAGTTATTGTGTATCAAGTGCTATGCTAATTTCTGGAAATCAGTGTGAGAAGATAAACTTGATTTCTCCTCTAAAGAAGCTTACAATTTAGAGGAGGACGTGAGTAAGTACAGGCAATTATAATAAAATGTGACAAAAGCTGAGAGTGTAGTAAGGGCAGGATGTTGTGGAGGCACTTAGGAGAGACTTACCAAGTCAAGGGAATAAAATATCATTCTCTTCCTCCAAGCTTACCCCCTACAATCTGTCTATTTTCAAAATATCAGCCAGTTTGAATACCAAAGTTAGACCATGGCACTCCTTTCATCAAAACCTCCAAAGGTTCCCCATTTTCCCTACAGTAAAAGCCAAAATCCTTAAGATGACTGCAAAAGCCGAACATGACTTGGATTTGCCCCTTCCACTACCTCATTTTTCAAATTCTCTTCTCTCCTTCAGTGTTTCCAAGCACTCTTAATCTATTCAGGTTTTCTACTTCATGAATTACATTTCATATTTCTACTTAAAATAGAAATTTATTTAAGTATAATCAGTTTTTTCTATAAAATCATTCACATCATTCATATTGCATGTTTTCTAATTTACTAGCATCAAGTTATGCATACTAATAATAGAAGCAATATAATAATGCAAGGCTCTGTTTATCATGCATGCCTGGCACTGTTCCTATATAAATGGCATGTTGTGCCTCATAACATTTAATCTTCCCCATAGAACTACGAGACAGGTATTTAACCAGTCATAGAGTAAGCCAAATAGAAGTGAAAGATCTGAAATGACTTCAGTCATTTGAATAATAATTTTAATCATTTGAATATCTGTTGTTGCTGCTACCATCATCTTTTTCCTGAACTTCTGCTATTTTAAAATACATTTCTACCCAGTAGCTAGAGGGATATTTTAAAATATCAAGTGTAATCTGTCACCTCTTTGAGGGCTTCTCAGTGTTCTTAGAATAAAGATCAAAACTCTCAACATGGTTTATGATGTAATAAATACTGTGGTCCTTGCCCACCTCCCAGTCTCATCCAATACCCAATACCACTTTTCTCCTGGTTTTCTGCACTCAGCACATGACCAACCTTCTTTCATTTGTTAAATGGAACATGATCCCTCTTATGGTAGGCTCTTTAAAGATGTCCACAGGTCTAATCCTTGGAACCTGTGAATATGGCACTTTACACGCTAAAAGGTACTACGCAGTGGACTACTGAGTGAGGTTATACTGGGTAAACTTAGAACTATACCCTAAATTAGTGGCTTTTTCCCTGTGGAAATGGCCTCCAAAGAATCTGTTTGGAGAGCCACAGCAGAGGCTGAGGCGGTAGCTGGGGAGGTGAGACCTGCTCTGCCCTGCTCACCTCCATTCGGCGGAAGCTAAGATTCAGGTGTGTGCCTCTGGCCTGGCACCTGCTGAACCCTGGCACCAAGGACCTAGGGCCGTAGCACTCTGTGGGTGGGAAGGACCCAAAAGAAGGCGCCTGAGAGCATGGATGAGCACCTTGGGCTGGATACCAAAAAGAAGAACCTACTTCCCCCAGTTGGCACGGGATTCCTCTAAGAAGCCTTCCTGGATTGACTGAAAGATGAAGCTAAATTCTAGCAAGTTGACTGCCTCCTCCAAGAAGCCTTTGAGCAGGATGGAAGTGGGGAGGCCCCAGCCTCAGCCTGGGCAGCCCGTTTCACTGCAGCTACCAGGGGTAAGACTTGGCTTCTCCATTACTCCCTTCCTGCTCCATCTGGTTTCTCCTGTTCAGCTGAGCTGCGATTCCTCTAAAATGGAAGTTCTTTCTCCTAACAGAGACCATTTTCATTTAAAAACAATCTGCTTGATTGTGAAAGATTAAGAATGATGGTCCTTATTTATATTACTTATGTAGTGCTTGTAGTTAGGCAATAAAAACACACTGTTTGGTGTTATTTTTGAAAAATATATTGTTTTTATTTTTAAAGAGAGAAGAAGGGAGAGTGAGAGAGAAAGAGAAACATTGATGTTAGAGAGAAATATTGGTGTTAGAGAAAAACATCCATTAGCTCATTCTACACGCCCTACTGGGGATGAAGCCCACAACCCGTGCGTGTGCCCTGACTGGTAATTGAATCAGCAATCTTTCAGTGTATGGGACGATGCCCAACCAACTGAACCACACCCACCAAGGCCTTTGTAGTGTTATTTTGAAACGTTAGTTAAAGTTCAGTTTATTTTTATTTATGATTCATATTTATTCAAATCAAGTGGTCATATTAATGATCATGTGCCTAAAATCTGTGGAAGAACTTTAAAGTCTCTTAAATAGAATAAGAACTCTAGAAAAGAAGGACATTTCAAAAAATGTAATTGTTAGGCTCCTAAATGTTCACAGCAATTATTAGAGACCCATGCATTGACTGGGATCCAGTTTTGAAATACATCTGATATGCCTGTACCTATGATGATATCAGATACAGAGAAAAATGGAAATTTAAAAGGAATATAAAGATAGCACTTATGCTTGATAATTGTAATATGCCTGGGAAGGGAAAAAACACACAACAGAAAAGAAGACTTACCAAATAAATTTTGTCCAACAGAAACATTAGGATGCCTCATCATGTTGACTTTATGCTTCATTGGCTTTGTTTTATCTTTCACAACATAAATTTTCTCTGTAACTGCTGGGATATTAATGTGTATCTCTCAAGTTCTCACTATATACCTTGGTTTCAAATAAGTTCATGTGCATGCTTTGAAGACAGAAAGGGCCAAATTATGTAATGATGATTTGAATGTAGCATAAGATATAGGGGGAGAAAGGAGGTTAAAATAAACTATTGATTGAGTCTGGGAAGCAAAGTGATTTTATTTTAGGTGACAGAATGGGAGACAATGTCTCAGAAATTGACAGGAAAGTCTGGCTACATGGTGTGTGCATATGTGCATGAGTGTATGTGCATAAAGCATTCTTGACAAGAAGAGTAACTTGGTCATTGGACCAGGGCTCATTGGCTTCTTTGGGTTTTGCAGAAATTAAGCTTATAACTTTTGGCTCAAGTTTTTGCTACAAGAAGGATCTCTTTATTACATGATAAAGGTGACCAAGTAAACCTAATGTAGCCAAAAGTTCTAATCATTTGCTTGTGTAAATGTGACCTATACATTTCTAATTTGTTAAATATATTACCTACTTTCTCTATTCCTGGTGTGGCCTATACCAAAATTGCTCATGAAAGTTTTACTTGGGGTTGCTGTTTTTGAAAAAAATGTACTTGAATGAAGTAGAATTATTTTTAGGGCCTGGTAACTCCATGGAGGGAGACTGTGGGGATAGTCACTGTTCTACTGCGTTGTTATGCAACCAGCCTTTTCTTCTTTCTAGGCTGCATATTGTTGTTCAGATTTGCAAGAATTAAGTTTATTTTTGCCTTTTCTAAGCAATCCTAGACTACAGACTATTTTATAACAATGCTTATATTAGAAAATCTAAATTAGAGATTGTCATCATTGTGCAGATGAGGACAAACCAAAACCTGACTAAATTTAGCGTCATTATAATAGGACAGCACAGAGCCAAAGCATTTAAAACATTTTCTTACAGTTCTCAAGAAATTTATGATTTGAAGTCCATATATTTGTGAACAAATGATTAATCTTCATAATCACTTAAGACTTTCATACAATTTATAAAAGAAAGAAAAAACAATGTTAAAATCAACTAAAGTATATTTTCTTGTTAAATTACACAAAATGACATTTTATGGATTAGTAAAACATATTAAGTAATATAGAGTCTAGAATTTTATTTTTGACTTGACTGAACCAAAGGTTTCAGCAAATAATGTCTATTTCCCCCTCTAACCTCGGTTATCTATTTGGTTGGCTGATGTATCTTTCTGTAAAGGATACCAGTACATGTATAAATACAGTTAAGTACTTACAGTACTTTTTCCAACTCCCACCTCTCAGTTCCTACAAAGAAAACCTGCAAAATATTAGAGCTGGTAGATACATCAGACACAACTTAGTTCTTATTCAGCCCCTATTTTGCAAATAGAAAAATAGAGGTTGAGAGAAGTTACAGCTCATCCAACTTTTCACTAGGTAATAAGAGCACCAAGAATAGAATCTAGTCTCTTGATTCCTGGTCTATCACTCCACTCCATGACAGAACTTCTGATAGATGGTATGGATGTGAGATTCAGATGTCATTATTCAGGGTAGTGAGAGAGGCCCATGCTCTATACCTTGGCCAGTTATCCTTCCTCATTAAGTCTCCAAGGAAATAAAAGGCACAGAAGATAACACAGGAAACCAATTTAAAATATCTTGAGGTTTGGCTCTAAGACCAAATATAAAATTCCTAGAAGCTTGGCTGGACCATGTTGTTGAACCTTATGAAATATCTGATATTCAAACATTTTACCTATGAAAATGGCAATTTTTCCCTAGCCTTTTGGCTCCATGTTTAGAGTGTCAGTCTGCACACCTAAGAGTCAC